CAAAAATTCTCTAAGAACGAGAGAAACGGTTAAAAATATTTAAAATTCCATCTCATACATAAGGCCCAATAAACCATAAACCCTAGAAATTAGCCAGCATCACTCACCAAAGCCTAGATTAACAAACCAAACACATCCTGGGTACGCAGAATCCACCCCACCCCCACCCCCAGCCCCAACCCTCAAAAAACACCTGTTAGCGTCCCAGATACCTCTAACCACAGACAAGCCGCAAAACACTGCTCTATACTACCGAGTGCCTTTAGTGACCCACAGCACAGCTAAGACGTCCAGGAACCATCTACAGATTCTTCCCAGGGTGGGGATTGAGGGGCTCTCGATCCAGTGGGGTCCTATCTGCCGGTCTCCACCTCTCGGAATCTCGAGGGGAAATGAGGCTTCCCTTCGACTTCTGAGCTCAGCCGGACCCCACCCGGGGCCCCAGGGGACGCCTGCTCAGACATGGAGTGATTAGGAAGCAGGGGGCGCAGACAGCCACCCTAAGGTACCGGAGAAGTATAGGGAGTCGGGCCAGGCTCACCGGGCTGCCCAAGGGGGTGGGCGCCTGGAGCTAGTCGGCGGCAGGGCTGGGGTGCGGGGAGGGGCGACACTTACCCGGAGGCTGCCGAGCAGGAGGCGGCGGTCGGCCGGAGCGGCTCCAGTAATCCATTAGGCGCTGCCGGGCTACGCGCACTGGGGGCGGCAGGGATCCGCTCATGTTGGAGAAGGAGTCGCCTCGGAACCGCGCGGCTGCAGTCACCCGGAGCAGGCCGGCTGCTCCTGACGGGCGGTGTCCGCGCCGGCGGGGGCCTCAGCGCCCAGGGCTCCTTCCGGGCTCTCCCGCCCGCCGGGCTCCCCACCGGCTCCGGAGGCGGCAGCGGCGCGGCCCGAGCTCAGCGGCGGTGGGGCCACGTTGAGCGCCGGGCGGGAGCGGAGGCCGCCGTGGACCCCGCAATCCCGCAGCCGGCGACTGGATCCCACCTCTGCAGAGACAAAGGTTAGAAAAAGAGGGGGTGAGGCTCCAGGAAGGCAGAATGCGGGGGGAAATTCGCCTGGGAAATCAGGAAAAAGGCCGTGAAGGCGAGCGGCGCCTGCACATGACCAGCCGCAGCCAATGACGACCGCAAATAGGTCATAAAAAGGTCTATTACCAAGTTGTAAATTTTCTTCAAACAAAAAGGAATTTGCTGCAATTCCTTGCGGATTTTGCACATACAGCTCGCAAGCGCCATGTTTTTTCCTCTTTCTCTCCCCGCTATCTTCTGTTCTCTCTCTCTCTGTTCCTCCTCCTTTTCCGTCCTTCCTCCTCTACTCTTTCTTCCTCTCTGCTCCTCTCTGCTCTCTCTGCGTCTCTTGCCTCCATGGTTCCTGACTCTCACCTTTTCTAGGAAGTATTTCTTTTGCTCTTTTTTGGTTTGGCTCGAAACCTCTGCTGAATAGAGCGTTGTGTTAGAGGGGAAGTGAATGCGGTGGACTGCACAGGCGCTCGGGGAGGTGATCCTGGCAGTCACCCCCCTCCGAGTCTCCTTGCGCGGGTCACTTGGCTTCTCCTCCCCTCCCCTCACAGAAAGGCCCGCTCCGGAGCGGCAGTCAGGCACTTTCGGTTTTTGGCCCTCTCATCTCCAGGCAAGCCAGCCCCAGTGATCTTGCGCAGAAAACCTGGGCTCTGCAGGCCAAGAAAGCCCGCCCTCCCCCTAACACCTCTCCAACATAAATTGGGGTCCCTTCCATTTCTTGGGGTTTCTAGGGGTAGGAGAGTCACCAAACAGCTCAAAGCCTGGAAGTGGTTTTAGGTACTTGTCAACTCCAAAATAAGAGTTTGAACTCCCAATGCTTGGCATTTATCTTGGCAGAAATATCCTCCTGGACAGTACTGGGTTCAAGGGGAAGCAGTCTTTCTGGATCCCCTATGAAACCCCTTGCTATGTCTCCCCTAAGTGCATTTCTTATTTCTATGCAATTTAATTCTAGTTTCCCATTCTTCCATTGCCCCCAGAATGTTTGCCCATGGAAAAGCCTGCTCAATGCAACACTGAAGAGGAGAGGGGCTCCATTTGTTCAGGAAAAGAGCGGACCCTCAGTTTCAGCCCTGGGAAAAAAATAGTCCTTTTTCTTCAAAGGCAGGAGTCACATTCCTTTTGCACTTCTGATAGGAGCTACGCCAGAGAGCACCAGCTGAAAGTAAATGTCCTTGAGGGCCCCAGCATTCTCCTCATCATTAATGCATGGGCATGATCATCCAGGCTTCAGAACCTGCCTGAAAGAGGTAACCCATCCCCCAATCCTTTCAAGGGCACTGTCTTTGGACTTCTGGTAATGCATTTATAAATATATGCATTGGATGTCTACGGGTAGGTTTTCTGCTATGAACATCCTCACATCCAGTAAGTACCTAAGTGAACATAGACTTAAGCAGGAAACACACAGCACTGTCTGAAGCAGGCCATTTGTATCCCTTGAAAAGGTTCCGATGACCTTGGATGTTTTTTATTAAAGGAATTCTGTTGCCATCTGTCAGCAAAAGTCATATTCTTTCTAGAAACTGTGCTGTAACTTTGCTGGAGGGAACCATAGCGGTATCCAAGGTCCATTAAAATGTTCTATTCCCCTGTCCACCCCCAGATGCCGGAAGAATCAGCAAACACCAGGGAAGCAGAGGACACAAGCTTGGATGTGAAATAGCAACATCTTATGTATTGAAGAATAATAAAACAATGTTTTTAATTACAAAAGAAAATGTGTAAGAATACGTGGGGCAAATTTTGGGGCCCTTCCAAGCTAGAATACTTTACACTGATCTGTACGTATGGAGCTGAACAGAGATTGCTCACTTGTAAAATTATCTAAGAACTAATCTCAATTGCCAGTTTTCCTCTACCCACATAAAAGCACAACTTTATGACCCTCCTTTTCAGCCTGGGGAAGGGGAGCTGGGAAAAAGACTTTGCACTTTTGAAAAGGCAGCCATATTTGCACATTTTCCCCTGTGCAGAGGTAATCTAGGCGATGTGCTGGGCTTTGTGGAACCTCACAAAATGGCAGTTCCTGAACTGACTTTTCTCTAGAAACCATTGAGACTCACACCCTCTTTTGTGTGTTTCTGGTCCTCGCAAACAGAGAACCTAAATCACTTGGAAAGCTTGGTTCTTTCATTCAGTGTTAACATTGGAGGGTCCTATTTTTCTCTAAACGGTTTACAGACCTCTCTAAGCAGATTCTAAGCAATCCAGGGCCAAAAAGCATCGCCTAGATTTTCAAAGGATTCTCTGAAGGTTTATGCAAATTTCTGCAGCAAAAATGTTTGCTCGCTTCCCTGCAACCTTTGGATGTTTACAGGTTTGAGCCAATTAGGAGGTATCTTCTGTGCTCGTCACCTCGAGTCTGAATGAAACACCATGATGGGGGGTTTCTAGCCACTAAAAGAAGGTGGTGTGTGTGTGTGTATGTGAGAGAGAGAGAGAGGGGTGTAATTCCCCAAGCTCTTTATTTGAAGGCAGATCTATGATTTTCCCAGCTACAAAAAGAAACACATATACCTACATTTATTTATGACCAACACTTTCTGCTATGTGTAATCTATGTGGTATATGTGTAAGTACAAATATACCAAATATATACTTAGAATACCACATTTGTACATGTACAAATACTCTGCAATGCACCAGGTATTACAGCAGAGTTTTTTTCTGTACAAGAGCTACAATTTTACTATGGGTTGGGGGCGATGGGTCAAGAAGGTACAACACTTCCAGAGCAACACAGAATATAGAGGAAATAAGGACATTGCTACCTCCCCATCATTTCTTGATTTCCACATCCATTCATGCACCGGGTCCCCCGAGTCTTGCCGCAAATCAGTGACTCTAAAACTGGAATTTGGGGAGCATTTTTGAGTGGGAGACAGAGAATTTTGCTAATAGAGGAATCACTTAAATGGAAGGCAGCTGGAGTTTGGCCAGCAAGAAGCTCTAGCCAGCTTGCGGCCGCCGCCACCTCACCAACCCCTACCGCCACCACCCCACAGGCTGTTTCCTAGCCATGCTTTCAGGCGCTTGGCATCTTTGCTCTAGAAGCCAACAGCAGAGTCTCAAGCAGCACACGGAGCAGAACGTTTCCAAATCCAGCATGCACATTTGCAGCTGTCTCCTCCCGTGCAAATGTTTCTTAAGCCGCAGGCCACCCGTGACTTAAAATGGTCTTTCCTGGCTCAGGTCAGCGAATGCCACAGCCACATCCTCTTCCCTGGTTAGAAAGCTAGGTGGTGTTTCACTTCTGGCCCCACCAGTGCCAACATTTCCCAGGTCCTTGAAGTGGCAAGCGAATAGCCCACCGATGCCTGAGGGGCTGATTCAGGCCTAAGACAGATTCCATTTTCTTACCTGTGCAATAAAAACCATTCTGGAAATTAAAATGTACCTCTTTAAAAATAAACGCATCTAGAACAAGCAAAGAGCTCTTCAGTGTCTACCTGATGAGGTGCTTCCCATTTGGGGGGGAGAAGTATTAGTTTACTTGAATTTCTCCTTTTCTCTACTACCCCTCTTTCCCCTCCTCTTCCCTCATAAAATGGCAGCTGCAGGAGCAGCCTCCAATGGAAAAGGGCTATCTTGTTAATAACAGATCTCAAACCCCAGCATCAGCACAGGCTCGGCGGAATAATCTGCAGTGTAACGTGGGCTCTGGGTCTTCTCCCACTGGGCCCACAAATTAAGTCCTTTGCGAAGTTCAAAGTTTTCACAATATCTTAGCAAGGTTATTTAGAGCAAGATGCAGCTAGGATAGGATAGCCTAGCCAGCCCTCTCTGGAATGAAAAAGAGACCCCTCCCCTGCATTTATTTATTTATTTTTACAACGCAGTGCTTGTAATCCCCACTCCTTTTTTTTTTTTTTTTAAATCAAATAGAAGCTTTAGTGAAACGTTGCCTTCTAGTAGCCCAGGTGGTGGTTCCTGACTCAGGGAAAGGGTTATGTGCGGCGCTTAAAGACACTAGCTCTAGAAAAAGATTCATTTCTTTATTAAGGAGCTCGCTATGTTCTGGAGCGGTTGTTTACACTCGGATTTTTCTGCATTTGCTCTCAGGGCTTGTTTCAATAGGTGAGGCCATCCTGGAGAACAGCAGAGGACGTACCAACCGACATCTGAGACGCACACAAGTTGGCTCAAAATGGGCGTGCAAACAGAGCGAAGGGAATACAAATAAATATGGCACCTATTCAAAAAACGGAATCACAGCAGCGGCCACAGCATAGAGACCTAGCGATTTCAGGCGATACCAAGCGCAGTTCAAAACGAAAGCAAGTTGAGAAATGAGAGGCATTCCACAAGGCCACTTGCCAGAGTGAAAAGTTAATGAGTGAAAATGTTATAATTGGCTTTTCAAGTATTCATTCACTTAAGATGATTAAATTGCCATAATTTGTATAGACTATAGAAAATTATTAGATGTCAACTATGACATGTTCCTGAAACTTTTGTCATTGGCCCAACACTTTCCCCAAGTTTAAGGAAGCTGCAGAGCTGGACTACACATTACACTCTTCAGCTAACATGTGCTTTATGAATATTTGGCCCAGACTTTTCCCAGAGATATTACATTTACAAAATACTCAAAGAAACCTTTTAGGAGTAAACAAAAGGCACCCGAACCATTCATTATAAAAGCAGAAACGGAAAACATAAATAATACGCTTTAATCAAATAACATAAAGTAAATATTCTGCAGGCATAATTTTTTAAAAAAATTAATAGATCTCTTTTAATTTACTCACCATAAAGAAATGATATTAAGTGTTCAAGTGCACTTGTTTGATTAATAAAGCATTTTATATTCAATTATTTAGTGCTAATCATTAGGAAGTTTATGTTGTTGAGGCAAATCACCAACTCAGACATTAAAAACTACCATTACAAAAATATAGCAACAAGGTCAGTATCAAATTACCCTTACACAGCACAGCTCAAGCGCTGCTTCTATGCAATACTATAAACTTTTAACACCCAAACCCCTCTCAAAACGCAGAAACCTCAAGAGCAGTGACATGAAGGTAGCTTGAAATACATATAAAGTCTTTTCCAAAAAAGAAAATAGACGGTGTCCAACAGCATGTGTTGATCATTAGTTTTAATAGTCCATGGCAAAATTTTAAAGGTAGAAGTTAATTTGTCAGGCCTTCAGCTCTGTCTTCCTCCAGCTCTTGGGCTTCCTTTTTGGTTTCCCCATCCTTTGCCTCCTGTCGGGAAACTGGGAATTTGTCCTTGTTGTTCTCTTTTTTCCATTTCATTCTCCTGTTCTGGAACCAGATTTTTACCTGTCTCTCCGTGAGGGCTAGGGCGTGGGAAACCTCAATTCTTCTCTTCCTGGTCAGATAAGGGTTAAAAAGGAATTCTTTTTCCAGCTCTAGGGTTTGGAAACGACTGTAGGTTTGTCTTCCTCTTCGTCTACCAGGAGCTGCTGAATTTAAAAAAAAAAAAAAAAAAGGAAAACAAGCATTTTAGAAATGTAATGGTGCCTCTGCAGGTTGCTGGAGCTTTCTGGAACGGGTCTAAGGGATGAAATATACACAAGTCTCTTCAGCTCTGATATATATAGGATATGCAGGCAAGAGGAACAGAGAGAAAGTCTTCACAATAACTCTGTCCCCATCATCTTTACGCGGTTCCTACTTTACGAAAAAAAAAAAGTATTACTTTATGAATAAAAGCCACTATAGCTACACAAGAAGGAAAAGGAGAGGGCGAGGAAAAGGTAGTTTTAAAGCTAGAACGTGAGATGAAAGCAGATTTCTCCCCCTCTCCCCGCATTAAAAAAAAAAAAAAATTGCATCCCAACCTTGTGGTCTCATCCAGGGAAACATTTGAGAAGGAGACGAGCTCTGATTTAAGTGGTCTGGGTCCTCGCCAATATTACCACTGGACGATTTACAGTCAGGATATTGTACCAGCTCGGCCTCTTGCTGGGTCGTAAAAATCGGCTGTCTCTGTAAGTTATCGTATCCGTAAAACTTCGCGGGCTCCCCGTGACAGGCAATCCCGCCGCAGGGGGGAGGCGGAGGATGCGGAGGATGCGGAGGAGGAGGGGGGGCGGCCTGGTAGGCTGCGGCCGGGCTGCCCCCGCCGGGGTGGAAGTAGTCCTGGCCGGGGCCCGGGCCGCCCCCACCACCGCAACCCAGCCCGGCGGGCGGCGGCGACGGATGCGGGTGCGCGTGCGCCTGCGGGGGCGCGTGCGGGAAGCCAGCGGCGCTGTTGCCATAGAGCTGCAGGGCGGCGGCGGCGGCGGCGTGGCGGCTGCCGACCTCGGGCGCGAAGTGACAGTCGTAGTAAGTGGGATTGATGGCCTCGCCCGCCGCGGCCGCCGCCGCCGCCGCCGCGGCCGCCGCCTTGTACTTGGAGTACAGCGGGTTCACGAAGTAAGAGCTCATCGGAGCGGCGGCGGCGGTGGCCAGGAGCCGAGGTAGGGCGGCCCCGGGCGGGCGGTGCGGAGCAGGCAGGGAGCGCGCCTCAGCGCGGCCGCACTGCCGCGGGGGCCTCTGGGGCGGCTGCTCGCGCCGCCGGGGCCGCCGGGCTACGTTGCTGCTGCCACCCGCCCGCGCGCGCGTCGCCTCTGAGGCCGGGCAGCCGCGGGCACTTGGCTACTGGGCGCTCATGCCCGGCTCTCGCGCCCGCCGCCTCGGCCTCGCGCCGCCTCCCTCGCGGGTCGCGGGGCCTCGCCCAGCCCCCGCGCTCACCACCCGCCCGGCCTCTCCCGGCGCGCGCCGGCTCGGCCGCAATATAATCGCCGACGCCTCGGGTGACCTGCCCCGCTGCCTCCACTGTTTCCTCTCAGGCACCAGGCTGCCCTGAGCGCACCGGGACAAGAAAAAAAGTGCGCCCGGCCCACGGGGACACTCTTTGGCTTCGGTTTACAAACCCCCGCTCTGGAGGGAAGAGAAAAAAACACCCTCTACCCGCCACCACCTCTCACCTCGGCCCCCCCGCGGTCCCCTCCCACCGCTCTCGCCGCCGCCGCCGAGGCTGCCGCCCCGGTGCGCCCCGGCGAGGCATTTTCGCACCACGCCACTGTGTGGAGAAGATGGGGGCGAGATAACCGCGCGGAGGGATCCGCGCGGAGGCGACACCGTTGCTCCCGACGGGACGCCTCACGCTGGCCGGGAGATGCCTCCGCCGGCCTTAAAGGGGGCCCATAAAGCCGCACTGCCAAGGGCTCGCCTTGCCCCCCGGGGCCCAGGGAATGTGACTCGCGGCTGGCGTGGCGGGGGCGCGAGGGAACCTTACACTTGGGGGGAGGCAGGGAGGCCACTCCCAGGAGGCTATGGGAGCAAATGACTCCCTCTTCTGGCCCCTAGAGCAGCCCCCGAGAGGTTGGCCGTGGCTTTTGCGCTTTTGGACACGCGGGCGCAGCCCAGGGAACAAGGGCAAGTAGTGTAGACCGGACCGCGTACTTTTGGGTGGGGTCCTCAGTGGTTTGATTAAAGGCCACAAGGGTGATCCCAAAACCTGGCATTATCGAAGCGAATCTAGGCCCTTCTTTTCTAGGCGGTCAGGCCTTGTGGAAATGAGATGCACATTTACCCTTGACGCACTGCACGCCTGGCTGAGGCTCCCAGGTTAATTGATACTTAATGGAAATCATGCCCATGAATATAGTTTCCATCATTTCACCCTTGATAGACGTCAGCACCAGGCGCAGGGGGAAACTGAAGAATGTGGGGGCGGCGGGGGGGGCAGATTAGCATTGCTGAGGGAGTAAATAGAAAAGCGGACAGAAATGTTCCAAGGTGGGAAGGAGAGAACTCACGCTGGGGTGGGTGGTATTTCCTCGAGCAGGACGCGCGGCTCCCGGGTCTCAGCCCCGGTACGGAGCGGACCAGGGCAGGCGGTGGCCCCGGGCAGAGCACGGGGGGCCGACGCCTGCGAGTCCCCACTTCGGGCCTCAGGGCCGGTATTCGGATCGCGCCGGTTCCAGGCAGCTGAAGGCGGCGCCCATCGTCTGCTAATGATTCTAATTCATCTGCCAAGCCTGTGAACTTACTGCTGAGGGCGGGCACTGGACTCAGCTTAGAAAGTTACTAATTTTTCCGAAATAAAGTAAAGAGAAGGGTCATCCCAGCTTGAGCGATGAGGAAAAGAAACGTCCCGAGTCATGTGGGCAAGTCGAGTGTGAATCGGCAAAATATTCCTGATTTTAGAAGCCCGCTCGCCGTTAACACCAACTGCCTTCTCCCCCTCATACCTCTTTTTTCTCCCTCTCGACTCCCGTATTAACGTCCAATAAATGTAATAAGGCTATGTTGAGTGCGTTTTCCCTCGCCCACTCGGCCTTTTTCGTGGGCTCTTTAGATGACCCGGGCCCCCTTTCCTTAGGGATAATCCATTGTTGTGAGGGCACCAGGCCCACACCAGCCTTGGGAACCGACCTCGGAAACATGCCCCGAGCCCACGGAGGGGGCTCCCGCCAAAGCTAAAACACACCACGCCGGCATTTCACGCCAACTGCAAATATCTAAGAACCCGAGACGGCCCCCAAAGGCGCAGCAGGCGAGTCATTTCAACTACCCCCTACTCCTTGTGGGTTGGGCCGGTCTGTGAGTACGATCCTGAGGTCAGTCCGTGTGGACTGAATCATATTTTGCAAATGGAGAAAATGAGATCGAGATGGAAAGGCAAAACAAGATAATGCCTAATACTCTTTCAATTGTTTCTAGGGGAATGGCTGGAAATGGTCAAGGTAAACGGATTGTTAATGAATTTCCAGATGATAAAGTAATGCTTTATTTTTTAAATTAGTAGGGAGTGGAGGACACTGGGGGCGGGGTGGGGAGGCGGGTTTGTTGTTTTCTGCCGGATATCGCCAGGTAAAAACTTCCTTGAGATCCGAAGGCGAACAAACCGATTCTGATAGTTAACGATTTGTTCTTAAATCTTGCAAATACTTAATTAAAAGAGAATTATTCTCAATAAAGCCTTGGAACCAACTTTGTAATTGTGGCTTTTTTAATTTCAGTGTTTGGCGTGTGCGCTTGTGCGTATTTAAACGCTGGATCAATGAGTGGGTTTTGGAACAGAATGGGGAAAAAGAAGAGCTAGCCCAGATCTCAATAATACAAGGCACCTTCCAGAACTGTGTGATTTCGGGGGTGGGGGTGGGGCAGAAAAGAAACACAAATACTACGAAATTCATTTCTACACATTCTGGCCTAATTAAGAAAGCATTACAACACATTTCCTCTTGGGACAAAACACTTAGTTCCCCCTCGCCCCCACCCCAAGCATTCTGTTTATAATCTGAATGGGAAAAGAGCGCGATTAACTTTGTAAATAAAGATCTATGTTTTTTTACACGTTTGTTTTGATAGAATGCATTAACTTAACCATAACATTTTATAGTTTCAGCTGTGCCATAGTCCAAATTTTCTGAAATCCTGACTAATCCAAAATTTTATACCTAACAAACACGCCTGGAAAATTTAATACAGTGTACAGTGCTTCTTTTTGGTTAAGTTTATCCTAATTTAGAATTAAAAATAAGATTGTAAATATTTTAAATCAAAACCTTCCTCGCCGCAACTCCAGCTTTACGAGATCACAAAGTGGAGCAACAGCGCTCTCTAGTGGCAAAATGCCGCCTCCAGTCGACCGAGTTTAACTTCCCTTTATCGGCTCAGACCAGTTCTAATCTTGTTCTTTATTTTGACTGTGGCTTGGATCGCGGACACTATTAATGCTTCATCCCTTTGATTGTCAACAAGTCAAGTGCAGCAAGCAGGGGCTCCTGAACACCAAAGATATTTGTACTCCCGAGAGAGCTTCCAATAGTGTCTTTTTCAAAAGCTTCCAGCCCTTCTTTTGCCAGACACAGTAGGTCCCCATTCCGTAATCGTCCACAATTACAAGAGGGGCTGGACTGAACAGAAATTACAACTTTCTAAATATCAAATACAAAAGGCTTTTTTGTCAGAGGAGCCAGGCACTTTGAAAACAAAGAAATGATAGAAGTTCATTTTATTAATTTCTTTTAAAGCTGTTGCTCGTCATTAAATCCTGAATATTTGCTATTTTAACTTCTGATTTTTAATCCTTCAGGCCCATTTCGCTGGGCAATCTGGGGACAGGGGAAGGCAGAAATAGAAACCAAATTAAAAGCTTTTTGCTGGATCTCTGAGTGGCTGTCTGGAAAGGCCCTGTTGGGCTGTGTTTATTGGCATTTCTATACACAATAAATGAGATTTTAAATTTATATCAAAAGTCACAGAGTGAAATAAATTGACTAAGCGTTCCACTTGAATTTTTGTTAAAGCAAAGACTTTAATCAGCTTAGGTGTTTCCTTTGAGATTAATCTTTCTTCTCAATTTCAAAAATGTTTTCTTCCAATTCAGGTGTAACGATTACATTTTCTATAAGCAATAGGAAATACAACAATACTTTTGCTGCAAAGTTTGGAATGGAGGGCCAGGTACTTTTATGAAAGGACATTTAAATAACTTCATTTTTTCCTGCCGACCCTGCGACAATTCAGCTGGGAGACCCTCGGCTTGAGTAAATGACTCAAGATCACTAACTTCTCCCACCTCCAAATAACAGGCCAATTAAAAAAAAAAAGAAAGAAAAGAAAGAAAGAAAAGAAAAAAGAAAGAAAGAAAGAAAGAAGAAAGAAAAAGAACAACCTAGACTGCCGCCATAGTGAAATATTATAAAGAGCCACCCACCATGGGCTAATTCTAATACACGGCCCATTTTAAAAATCAGAAATACATCATCTCCTCTTTCCTACCCTCCCCCATTTTTATTTCCTAGGTGCTCACACCTCACCGGGGGCTCCCAAGTCCCTGCCTTCTTGGTCCAACACAGTCTTGTTTATATTTTATTGTCCAGATTTTAAGACCCAGTTTTGTCTGCATTTTTCCCTTCCTCCCACAAACACAACATCAAAATGAGATGGTTTCAAAGCGAAGCGCCGAGCCTGTCGTAAACTCATTACCTCCAGACGTCTCGCCGGCTCGATGGCTTTATGACACCTTGGCTCTTCCTGTTTTCAAAGAGCCCTAGGTATCGGGTTGGCCGCAGGGGCGGGGGGTACGCTGCACCTTCTGCCGGATCTGGGCCTTGGCTTTCCCTCCCAGCCCCCCTCTGCTTTTCCTTCAAGTCCCCTCTTTCATCAGGATCCCCCCAAACTCTGCCATCGCCCCCCCCTTCCGCCCAGCCCAGGCCACCCGGTGCCACCCACTCTTGGGCCTGCAAGGGCTGTGCTGGGCCCAAACCTTCACTTACAATGACCTTCATTTTAGTCCCTGAATGCGGCCCTCAGAGGGCCAAACTGGGGGCTAAACACGCACTGGAACTGAGCTGGAGGGGAGGGGGGCGATGAGATGGGGTGGGGATAGCTGCGGAGGAGAGCCTTGACCACTTCGATCTGCTAAGGTCACTTTGGGGCTCTTGTGTGTACGGTGGAAGCTCACAGCCTAACTGGCTCAGCCCTCCCGGAGCCAGCCAGCCTGTTGAGGTGGAGGAGTTGCTCCAGAGTGCAGAGCTGGCCTTTCCCTTTTTTAGAGAGGGGACTGGATGGCTGGTACTCCATGAACAGAGGGAGACATGGGGTGCGATGTGCCCACGCCCCAGCAAGAGGGTGCCTGGCTTCTGGGGCCCGTGGGCTCCGCTGGGCACTGCTGCAAGGCTGTCACTGGGCCTAGGTTCCAGAGTTGGCTGAGAAGCTGGAAGCAGGCTGGGGGAAGGACAGAGCAGCCAAGGGCCCCCCTCTGCCCACACAAAGGGAGACTCAGAGGCACATCAGACAGACTGCTCAGGTGGAAGGGCCCCAAATTTTTAGCAGTGTCTCCCTCCCAGGGATGGGAGGAAGTCCTGTGGGGGTGGTATTTTGCAAAGAGACAGAGAAAGCAGGCACAGAGTGTTCAGGGCCAGCGCCTGGGCTCCATTTGATCAGGTCAGCCTTTATTGGTAGGAAGCGGTAACATTTACAACTGGTCCTCAGGCAGGAACCAGGAGGGCCCGCACCCGCGGCCGCCGACGCAAGCCGAGCCCTCCCCAGGAGAGCCTGGCTGCTCCAGTGCACTGAGAATAACCCCCCACCCACCAGAGGCCCTGGGTTGCCCCCTCGGCCTCATTCCAGGTCTCCGGGAAGGGCCCGTGGGCTCCCTGAGGAAAGGGGACCTTCCTAACTGCTGGGCAACCTGGGCAGGCCTCCCACTGTTGTCGCTCTGCCTTCATTCTCAGAAGTGGGGCGCACTTGGCCCCTGCTTGAGCAGCGCTGGGGGGCTAAACTACAGCACTTTTCAGAAACATAGGGGACATTTACACAGGAGAGGGCTCCTCAATCCAGCGTGCACTCACAAAATATAGCATTTCCTATGGAACCAACGGTCCAGGAAAGGGAGGGAGCGGGAAAAGGCAAAACCCCAAAGCACTTCGTTTCTCCAACACATAAGCGAGCAAATAGAGTCCCCCAAATACCTCACAGAGACCAACCACGCAGTCACTTCTACCTAAAAGGGGGTGGGGGGGTAAATGTCCGAATCGCTGGTGAGTTTCTGGAAATCAAGCACCCACAAACAAAACCCGCACTGCCTCTGCAGCGCAGAGTGGTCCCACCGGCGCCATGCCGGGTCAGTCTCCTTTGGGGCATTTCTCCTTGCTCATCTTTTTCATTTTCATTCTACGATTCTGGAACCAGATTTTGACCTGTCTCTCTGTGAGGTTCAGAATCCTTGCCACCTCGTAGCGCCGGTCCCGGGTGAGGTACATGTTAAAGAGGAATTCCTTCTCCAGCTCAAGCGTCTGGTATTTGGTGTAAGGACAGCGCTTTTTCCGGGTGGAGCGAGCGTGGATCCAGTTTGCTGCAGGGTTGTCTATGAAGGGGGGGGGGTGGAGAAAGGGATCGAGGGGGGGGGGGGGGGGGGGGGGGGGGGCAAGGAGAGACGACAGGGTGGGGGAGAGAGGTCGTTAAATTAATTTCACTTCCTGTTTTCAAAGAGCCCTAGGTATCGGGTTGGCCGCAGGGGCGGGGGGTACGCTGCACCTTCTGCCGGATCTGGGCCTTGGCTTTCCCTCC